GGCCGGCGGGGCCGGGTCGCTCCTGCGGGCGCTCGAGACGAGGCACGCCGAGCGGCTGTCCCTGGTGACCGGGTTCCTGAAGGGCGGGGTGGACCTGTGCAGGCTGCGGGCGTCGCAGATCGCCGCGGACGAGCGGGCGAGGCGGCGGGCGGCGGGGCTGAGGGCGCTGCGGTCGCTGCTGGGCTCGACGGGTCGGGAGGGGTCTTCCGGGGTCAAGGCGGCGCTCCTGCTCTACGTGCCGCCGGCGCTGCGCGGGGTGCTGCACGGGCTGGCCGCACTCGGACCGGACCCTATTGCCCTCCAGGTGCGCGTGCGTGTTGTGTGTACAGCAGCAGGTTGTTGCGCAAGAGGTATTTATACACCACTTGGACCGGTTTTTCTTGGCTCGATTACTCCACGACGAAGAGGATGCCACCAAAATCAAGTGATGCGTGTTTCGGAAAGCACTGGACGGGACGGTTCCTTCAAATTTTTCGGCGACGTCACTGTTTTTCTTGCTGCCAGAGTATTCGGGAAAAACGAAGGCGGCCTTCGTATCGGCGTGGCGTAGTGTGCTGGCTGCCCTAAACTGGGGGTAAAATATCGTGTGCTGCGCAATACCCCACCCCCGTCACATGACCGAACCATTCCGCTGGCGTGACAGCAGTTCACGGCCGTTACACTGGTGGCCTGTTTCACTCGTCTCTTTCTAGTCAACCTACTCGATTCCTACCGTGCGTTACTGCCTACCCTCCTTCCCCCCGGGCCCCTGACCCTGCCCTTCTTCCGCGAACGTCGTTCTTTCCTCCGCCCGAGACAATGCAGATGGCGCGCGAGGCGGCTGCAAGAGCGTCGCGGCCCGGCGGGGGTACGGGGATGGGCCTTCTCATGGGCCAGTACCTCGACTCCCGACCGTTACCGGGGGGTCACTACCTGGCGGGGCTAGCTGGGTGCCCCCGGTACACTGCGCAAGAGGTGTGAATACTGCTGGTTTTTACTGACATCTGTGACTGTTATTGGGCTCGTTGAGGTGGTACAGTAGTGGAAATATGACGTTGGCGCCTTCGCACCAGGAGGTTTTGGTGTGATGCACCCCCCCTGTTCCCCACACACTAGCCATCGGTGGAGCCCCCGTCGTGGTCTGGCGATATTCTGCACGTAGATATGGAGGAGTTTTGCGTCTCGATACAACGTGTGTGAAGCCCTAATCGCCTTTTGCGTACAGACTAGAGCCTGTATCTGGCTCGGGGGAATATACGCCAACTAGTCGCCAACCTGTGGTCTACTGGCCTAGGAAAGCAAGTCAAGCATAACTCAGTTGGCGATCCTGATGGCAACAGCAGCCGCAGCACAGCCACACATCTCGTCGCCGATCCGCTTTTCCGAACCAATCGGGGTTCTCCTCTCCTCCCTCCCTCCCTCCCCAGGTGCGGGGAGCGTTCGAGAAGCTCTACTCCTTCTTGGCGGGCGAGCTCGAGACCGCCGCGCAGCAGGGGGACACCCCGCTGCAGTTCGCCCTCATGGACGCCTGGGGCGTGGAGGTGCACGAGGATGACCACGACCTGCTCGCTCGCGTGCGGATATTCAACATCCTGCAGGTGAGTTATGTGTGTCATGCGGTTTTGCGGAAGCCGGGCGAAGGGGGAGGAGACGGCACGGGTTTTGATGGTGGGGAACGTGGGGCCAGGCCCGCTTGCGGTGTGGTGCGGCGTCTGTGATAGCGGATAGCGGGGGTTACGGGATGTTTTTCAGGTTTTCTTGACGCCCTCTAAATGCCTTCTCTTGTGCTGTTGGTCGCGACTCATTTCGTGCACGGAAACACCCGCAGGAAATCCTCGACTCCACCATCAAGCACTCCCCGGACGGAGGGCCATCCACGGTGATGGACACCCGGCCGGCGGCGGCTACGACGCGCGGGACGGCGGCGGCGGCGGCGGCGGCGGCAACGGGGTCGGCGGCGCTCCTCTTGCCTCCGCAGGAGGCCTCCGTGGACACCCTCTCGGCGGAGCAGCAGCGAGACGACGCCACCGCGCCTTCGGAAGCGACGGCCGCGTCGGACCGCGCGGAGGAAGGGGACGGCGACCGGCGCGACGAGGACGAGGACAAGATGGCGTTGGCCATGGCGACGGCGGCGGCGGCGGAGGAGCTGGCGGCCGCGGAGTCGCACTCGCTGACGCAGGGCGCCATGAAGCTGGTCTACCTTCTGGCCATCCAGGTTTGTTTGTGGGCGGTAGGAACGGGGGCCAGCCGTGGTGAGGGAGTGCCCTCTGCGCTACGGCGGGGCGCTAGGGGGTTTGTTGGACAGGCCATGTCGTTATGGTGTCCCAGATGTCTACACCAGCTCACCAACAAGTTGATTGGGCGTTGGGGGGCAGTTTCTGCAGGGCTTGCGCAGTTTCTTGTTTTGCTCTGGTTGCGTTTGGCCTGGAAGGAGTCGGTAAACACCGCCACAGATATCCTTGTGGTGTCTACCCTGAACAAACAAAAAATATGGCTGTACCCCCGGCGGTTCAGGTGGCGACCTCCGGCGAAGAAGCAGCCGGCGGCGGCAGCGGTATCTCCGCGTCGGACCACTCCGCCCCGGGACCGTTCAGGGCGCCTCAGCTGGTGCGCGCTCGCTCGGGTCCCGCGACTCTCTCCCACGCGGTCTTCGAGATGCTGTACGTGCAGCTGCGGAATGTGTTGGGCGGGCTGCGGAAGGCCAGGGCGTCTAGGGCGAGGGAGCGCGCGAGGGCGAAGGCTCTGGAGGCGAGCAACGCGCGAAGGGCGGCTGCCGCTGAAGCTGCTGCTGCCGCCGCCGCTGCCGCCGCTACCGCTGCGGCGGACGATAAAGGTGCCGATGGTGAAGAGGCCGACGGCGAGTCGGAGACGGCGGATGGAGTGGTGGATGTTTCTGGGCGTGAAGAAGCTTCTCCGGCCGTCGCTGCGCCGGCTGCCGCCGCGGTGGCAGACGAAGGTGGTGAAAGCGGCACCGCTGAGGACGGGCTCGATGAGAAGGAGGAGGAAGAGAAGGCGGTGTTCGAGCGGCTTGCGGACATGCGGGACGACATTGGGTGCCTCAAGCTTAGCCGCGAGCTGCAGGTGTGTTTTGTCGGGGGTGCATCTAGCAGCAGAGGGAAGTCGTTGCTTGTTGGAAAACGTTTGGTATAGTGACGCCTTTGGCCTGGGCGTTTGGCCCCGGGGCGGTTGTTTTGCTCGGGTGCAGCCGCCCTTCAACTGTTGCCTGGTAGACGCCACGCTCTGGATCGAAGGGGCGGGTCTCGTGAGACACGGGAGAGAAAAAAGCATTGAAGCACTTGTCTCAACCGCCTCTTGCTAAATACTGACGATTCCTCCCCCGCCCCCCCTGTGTGTGTCCCATAGGTACTGGTATCGGAGGTTACGATGCTTCTCCTCTGCGTGTCTTCGACTGACCCTTGCCGTAGCCTGCTCTCCCAGCCCCGTTGGATCGCCGTCCTGCTCGGCCTCCTCCGGCTGGGCCCCCCTTATGCCCAACGCCGCGCCCTGCGGCTGCTGCGCCGACTTCTCCCGCACTGCGACCCGGAGTCCCTGGCGGAGAAGGACGACGGTGCCGTTGCCGCGGACGGCACTGATTGGTCAATCGTGACCATCGTCAAAGAGTCCAAGGCGGGCGCTGTGTCTTCGTCCTCGCCGCCGCCGGCGGGGAGCGATGCAGGCGTCAGCGACGGCATCGGCGAGACCGGGGAGACGGCGAGGGCGCTCGGGAAGGCGGCAACGGCGGCGGCCGGCGGCGGAGGCGGTCCTTCTCCCATGGTCCGCGTGACCAGCCTGAGCAACTCCGTGCACGCGGACCTCATCCCCGCCAGGAGCCTCCTGTGCTTCTTCCTCGACGCCATCGGGGGCTCATACCAGGCGGCGCCCCGTCCGGAGTGGCTCTGCGACCCGGACGCCGACGGGAGCAGCTCGCCGTCGGGCGGCGGCGGTGACAGCAGAGGTTCGGACGGGACCATGCGCGACCTCAGGTCGTGGTTCCGAGGCCAGACCGGCGGCGGCGGCGGCGCGGCGGCTGCGGGGTCGTCTGGGCGAGAGGAAGACCGGAGCGCGTGGGCGTTCTCGCAGCTGGAGGGCCCCCTGGTGTGCGAGTCCGTGTCCCTCCTGAGGACGCTCCTGCAGACGTCGGCCTGGGGGGAGGTCACGGCGACCCTTCTGCAGGACGCCGTCCAGCGAGGGAACTCGTGCCTGCGGCTGCTCGCCAGGGAGGCCGCCGACAAGGCCGAAGCAGCGGCGGTCGTCGCCGCCGCTCCCCGCCCCCCGGCGGCGGCAGCGGGCACGGCGGAGGCTGGAAAGGCCGCTGCTGCTGCGACGGAAGGCTCGACCGAGCTCTCTTCTTCGCCGACCCCGGAGGTTGCGGGCGATGCCACGGCGGAGGGCACGCCGCCGCTCGCGTCGCCGCCGCCGCCGCCGCCGCCGGTCGTAACAGCGGCGGCGGTCACGAAGCCCCCGGTGCCGCCGACGTCGGACGGGAGGGCGCCGCCGTTGGCCGGTGCGTCTGCCCCGCCGAGCACCACGGGCACGCTGCTGAGGACGCTCGGGGCGCTCTCGGTCCTGGGCGGCCACGTGGACGTCCTGTATCCCGGGGCTTGCGCCGAGATCATGCCCCTCGACTACGCGTCGCGCTCGAGCGGGGGGGGGTCCCGCAGCGGTGGCCGCGGCTCGGGGGGATCTTCCGGGTGGGGAGCGCGAATGGGGCGCAGCATATTCGGCCTGTCCGGCCTCGAGCGCATGGTGAACGCGGCCGGTGGCGGAGACAGGAGGAGCCGGGGTGGCGGCGGCGGCGGCGGCGGGGGCGGGGGCTGGGGCACGTCCGGCGGCAGCTCGTCCAGCTCGGTGAGCTCGTCGAGGGGCGGGCGGCCGTGCGTGGTCGTCTCCCTCAATCTCGCGGACATGCACGCGGAGGTTTTGCTCGAGGGCGGCGACAGCGGCGGTGCGGCGGGAAGCGGCGGCGGCGGCAGCAGCGGCGGTGGAAGCGGCGGCGGGGGCGACGCGCGCAAGCCTCGTGTCGTGCCTCTTGACTGCCTGCAAGCGGTGCCGAACGTGCCGGTTCGGCCGGGGACGCTGCCGCCGGGCCTGGCCGAGCGCATCCTGGAGACCCTGACGCTCTGGTGCTTGGACAAGGGGCTCAACGCGGCCTTCTCGGAACGGCTCTCCCCAACGGCGATACCGTTTGTGCCGACGACGCCCGTGGCGGCCGGCAGTCCCCCGCGGCCGGGTGGCGGCGGCCGCAGCCACCGGGGGAAGGGCGACGGCCTGACGGACGTGCTGTCGACGGCGGTGCTGGACCGACACCTGCTGCTCGGTCTGGTCCGGTGCCAGGCGGCGAAGGCCGCGCAGACGCTGCTGCTCCACCCACAGACCGCGGCCGACTTCGCCAAGGCGGCGTCGGCGCCGGCGACTGGCAGGAAGTCCAAGGGAGGGGCCGGGGCCGTGCTGCTGGAGGTGGCGTCCGGCGTATGCTCCTCGGCGGGTCTCGGGGACGTCGGCGCAATGGAGGAGCTCGTGGCCATGCTGCTGTCGCACTGGCAGTTTTCGGTGCTGGACGAGCGGTCGAAGAGAGTTCAAGAGGCCAGGTGGGGTAGGGCGCGGGGGGGAGGGGGGGGTGCAGGTCTTGAAGCGTGTGCCTCTTGCAGGAAGTTGGGGGCCCTGTGAGGGAACTTTCGAGTGTTGGGGCGACCTGTTGGTATTTTTTCCGCCCGCACCGGGTGGGATAGCGTGCGTGGCCATTGGTAACAGGCTCGTTGTCAAGGCGAGCATGATTTCCGATCCCTTCCGTGGTGGTCAGTCACAGCGCTATGTGTGGCGTTACGTTACACCCCCACACACCTAGCGATCCGCAGCCGCGAGCGTCAGAGCAGCAGTACTGCCACAGCGTACGTAGGCATATACTGAGTTTTGTTTCTGCGTATACATGCGCCATTTTTCGGTCGTCTCACGTCCGCCATTTTCCCCCCCTCCATGCCGCCACAGGGATCACGCACGGCAGAAGGCACGCGCTGCCAAGCAAGCGCTCATCGCCGCGGCGGAGGCCGAGGTTAGGGCGTCTGCGAGCGGTGGTCAGCCCGGAGGAGCCGACGAAGGACAGCGCGGGGCAGACGCCGCCGGCTCTAGCGGGCCGGGCGCGGGGGACGGCGTGACGGGGGGGATGCCTCCGTCGGCTAGAGACGGCGCGGACGATGCCGCACACGCCGCTGCGCAGGCGGAGGAAGAGGAGCAGCAGCAGCAGGAGGCTGAGGAAGAGGTGTGGCATTTCCCTCGGCAACTGTATTCGATAAAACGCTCGTTTTGTTGGCGATGAATTTATTGGGGTCTTGTGTGTTCGTGTGTCCCTTCCCAGTAGTCTCTGGTACTGTGAGAGGGAATCTTGCGCGTCGGCACACAAATTTCTGGAAGGAAAAAAACGGGAAAATGTGTTCGCGTCCGCCCCCCATCAACGCCACTATTCAGTAGAAACCCGGTCCTAAGTAGCATCGAGTAAGGATCACATCGACCGTGCCGAACTAACCAGATTTGCCACGGCACGATCGCCACACACTGCCCGCCACCGCCCATGGAAGGTCAACCCCCTCACGGCCCACATGGCGGAGATGGGTTTCCCCATCCACTGGTGCGAGCGTGCCCTCGCGGAGACCGGGGACGACATCGAGGCCGCCCTCAACTGGATCCTCTCCAACGGCGAGCTCCTGACCGTCGAAGACTCGCTGCGGGAAAGCATCCAGGCACAGTCCCACGCGGCGGCGGAGGTTACCGCTGCCGAGGCGGCGAGGGCGGAGGCGGCGGCGGCAGCGGTGGCCGCGGACGCCGAGGTGGCTGCCGCCGTGGCTGAGGCCGGCGGCGGCGGTGGCGAGACGGCGCAAGGTCGGGACGGCGAGGGCAACGGCGGCGGAGGCGGAGGCGGAGGCGGAGGCGGCGGGGAAGGGGGAGAAGGACAGGGAGACGTCGGAAACGCGGGGCAAGAGCAGAGCGAGGTCCGTGGAGTGGTAGTGGCGGGGTGTCTTGGCGCGTGTTGGGTGGTCCTCCCGAAGGAAACGGGGTTGAAATGGTGCGGGGAGGGGGGCGGGAGGGTGCAGGAGTTTAGTCCGCTGTATTTTAGTGCATTCGCGGAGATCATCTCGAGTGCTGTAGAGCTCTCTCTGCGCCACCAACATCCAGTGGCCGTTTCTAACTAACCCCAACGCCCTGACTCCTCACGCCCCGTTCGGATGGCCGCCAACAGCATCTCGCAAGTCGGGTGACGATAGAGACCTTGATGGCTCTCGACGACTCGGAGCGGGGAGCCGGAAGCGGCGAGATCGCTGCCTCTTCGTCCAACCAGGGGACGGAGCCCGGCTGGCCCCGGGTGTTCCACTGCGACCTCAACGAGCAGGCGGAGCTCCCCTTGCTCGCGGAGCCCAGGCTTGGCGCAGAGCAGGTGGGAGGCCTGTACGCCGGCGAGGAGATTACCGCCGTCGGGCAGCAGGGAGACTGGCTGCACGTCCGCCTGTATGAGGAGGACGAGGACGAGGACAACGATGTGAGAGCCCTTTTTTTTTTTTTGCTTTTGGAACACACGCGAACCCGGGTTCGAGCGCGTGTACGCTTTCACGCCTCGGCCGGCAAGTCGCGGGTCGTCGAATCAATCGCTTGTTTTGTCTGGGTGTCTGGGTCGGCCCACGCTACTCGCGTTTTTCGTGTCGGTGGTGTTTGCGGTGTGGTTTGATGGCTCTTGTCGGTGTGGGTCGAATGCGCACGTTGCTGAGCGCATACACCTTTGTTGTTACACATATATTTTTAGGACTTTTTTTCCGCGTTACTGGTAGTTCCCTTTGTTTTTTTGCGTCTCGGTATGTGGCAGAAGACTGCTGTGTTTTGCACGCCGTTGGGTTTTTTGTTGTCTTGTTTTGTTTACTGGGGGGGCTGTCGTCGGCAGCATGCGTGGTGCGGTTCGTGCAAGCGTTTCATGGTTGGGCCAAGGATCACGACACATACCCTTGAAGCCATGAGACGTGGGAGAGAGAGTATCAACAGCGGATCCGGACATTGATGCTCGTACGACGAACGAGTTATCACCGAGTCAGCAAGATCGATTTCTTGAAATTTCAAATATCACCATATTTTTTTCGCTCAACGCCTGTCTTCTCTGTCGATCCATTTCGGCCGATGGTTCCGTTCCCCGCACCTCATGTTGCTTCTGCTGTTATTTTGCAACGCCTGTCTGTCTGTCTTTCTTGTCTTTCTTGTCTTTCTTGTCTTTCGGCTGACGGTTCCGTGACTTCGCACGACTTTCTCGGCGGTTGTTGTTGTTGTTGTTTCTTAAGGATGGAGATGAGGACGAGGACGACAGCCACGACGACGACGAGGACGACGAGGACGACGACGACCAAGACCAAGACCACCGCTACTCAGAGGGAGACGACGGCCGCAGGGCCCGCGATGGCGGCGGCCGAAACCGTCGGAACCTGGACGGAGAGATCGTCTCCTGCGGGCGGTGCAACGCGGAGCACTTGCAGGAGCCTCTGGTGTGGGCCCTGCGGCGGACGGCCGGGCGCGAATATCTCCGTCCGGGTCCGTGCCTCGAGTCTTCCGGGTTGGGATGGGACGGCCTAGACGTGGACCGGCTGCCCCCGCCGGTTGACCAGGCCGGGCCTAGGCCTGGCCCCGGTCAGCGCGGGGCGAGTGGGAGTGACGGCGGTGGTGCGTTGCAGCCGCCGTACCGCGAGGAGAGCAAGGAGGCTGCGGCTTCCGCTGCTGCTGCCGCTGCAGCCGCCGCCGCATCCGCCGCCGCCGCCGTCGCTGGTGGCGACGGCACCGATGCCGTTCCCCACCCCAGCATATCGGCCATGTTTAGGATAGCACGCCAGAGCAGGAGCGGGACTTGTAGGACCAGCGGGCGAAGCGCTCGAGGCAGCCGCGGTGCCGGTGGCGGAGGCGACGAGGAGGAGTCGGATCTGGCAGGATCATCCCCCGCTGTTTACCGAGTGGCGGCGGCCGAGGGCGTCCGCGTTCGCCGCGGCGCCAACGCCCAGTCGACCGAGGTTGCGGTCCTCGGCGAGGGCACGGAGCTGCTCGTGACGGAAGAGCTGGAGTACCGAAGCGGGGAGGTCTGGCTGCGCCTGTCGGCACCAGTGGAGGGTTGGGTCGCCAAGCGCGGGAGTTCCCTCGTGGCGTTGAGAGGATCGGCGGCGGCGGCGGCGGCGGTGGCGGCGGCCTCCGTCAACGGCGGCGGGAGCAGCGGCGGGCGGAGTCAGGACAGCGGCGAGGGCGGCGAGGTCGCGGACGTGGCGCTGGCGAAGGAGCTGGAGGACTGCATGGAGGAGGAGGCCGGCACCGAGCTCTACCGGCGAGACGACAGGCTCTTCGGATCCCGCCAGGGGTGGCGGCTTCCTTCCGGAGGTGACTCCGGCCTGGGGCTGGCGGACGGCCGCGGCAGCGGAGGAGACGCGACCCGCAGGGCCGACTCCCGGGTGCCCGGGGATCGGAGGGCAAGCGTGGTGGGCCACGCGAGCGTTTCGGGCTGCTGGGCGGCGATGGCGACGTTGTCGGCCTCGGCCGCCAAGCAGAAGATCGCCAGCACGGCCGCGACCCTGGCGGTGCTGCACTGCCGAAAGATCCTGCTCACGGTGCTGCTGCAGTCCCACAGGGACGTGGTGGCGCAGACGGCGGATAGGGGGGCGGCGGCTGCCGACGCCCTGCTGTCCCAGCGCGTTGCGGCCCTGGTCGGGGTGCGGGACTCGCCGTTGCCGGCGGTGGGTGGGAAGGCCGGCGGCAGCGGCGAGGTTGTTGCCGCTTCGCCTCGAGCCTCGTCGACGTCTCTGAGGACAAGGGCGGCCTCTCGGCAGTTCTCTTCGTTCCTGCAGCTCGTGCTCTTCCGCGGGTGGCACCCCGGCTGGTGGCCCCTGGCCGACAACAGCAGCGGCCGCTGGAGCGAGAGTCTCGAGGCGGGCGAGGCCGGAGCTGGGGGGCGGCGGGAGGACGGGGAGGAGGAGGATGAGAACCGCGGCGTCCTCGACGACAAGGAGCCGATGCCCGAGTGCTTCCGTTCGCTGCCGGTTGTAATCACGCCGGTCGTTCTGTCCCTCATACGGGCCGCCGCGGCCCAGAAAGCCGCGGCCAGCCCTCCTGCTCACTCCAGCCCGAAATCGCCTGGGACCAGCAAGGGGTTGGGTCTGGGCCAACCATCCCGCTCCTCCCTGCAGCTGCAGCAGCAGCAGCCGTTCGGCGCTTACGTGGAAGAGGCGATCCTGCAGTCGGTGGCGAGCCAGCTCCGCCTGGCCACGCGGATCGGCCACGGGGACCACGCGTGGGCGCCGTCCGACGCGTCGGAGCTGAGCGACTCCCACTGCCTCCGGTACCCCCGGCTGCGGTACGTGAACTGGGCCGCCCGCGTGGTGCAGGCCGGCTCGGGCGCGCCGACCGTCCCGCGCAGGATCTTCCGCGCCTGGGCGACGGCGCTGCGGTCGCCATCCCTCCCGGTGAAGCAGCAGGTGTGCGCGGAACTGAGCCGGCTGTTGGACGAGGCCGTCCAGGCGGTTGACCGCGCCCACCGTGCGGAGGCGGGGCCGTCATCCGCTCCAGCGGCGGTACGCGCCGTCACCGCCGCCGGTGGTGGTGGCGAGAGCTCTGCCGTCTCGTCGGGTGAGGCGGTGCGCCTGCAGCGAGCGGCCGTGCTGAAGCGCCTCCGCCAGTGCGTCGAGATCCTGCCGCTGGAGAGGCTACGGTCGTTGGCGGAGAGGCGCATGCTCAAGGAGGGGGAGGACGAGCCGATGCTGTCCCGGGCCCTGCAGTCCATTGTGGACCTGGTGTCCTCCGCGGAGCTGGCCTTGCGGGTGCTTCGAGAGCACGACCAGGTGGCGGCGGCGGCGGCGGCGACAGACGAAGGAGAGGGCAAGCGACCGCAGGAGAAGGCCGACGACGCCGTAGCTACTGCTGAGTCGCCGGTCGTCGGAGGCACGGACGGCGTTCCTCCTCCGCAGACGGCGGCGGCGGCGGCGGCGGCGGCGGGGCGATCGGTGCTGTGCTTCCCTTCACCCGCGGCATACGTGTCGCTGCAAGGCCGGGACCTGGAGCCGCCGTGGACGGCGGAGTTCTGGCTCCTGCGGCCGAACCCCGATGGGACGTGGGAAGACGGCGACGAAGCGACCGGGGAGCCCGCGGCAGACGCCGCCTGCAAGAAGGAGAGCGAGGGAGACGACGACGATGATGATGATGCGGAGGAAGAGAAGGGAGAGCGGTCCTGCTCGATCCGGCCGCTGGAGCTTGGCCCGTCGGTGGCGCTCGCCGTCGCCGCCCCCCCGCGCGGCATCCGCAAGGCCTTCAGCGAGCGGCTGCCGCAGCCCCCGCCCGCGACCGTGTCCATGGCGCGCGCGTCCAGCACTCCGTCGTCCTCGGTGGACCTCACCCACCTGCCCCCCATGGACTCCGCCAACGGGGCCCCCTCGCTCGCCCGCACGCGGTCCGCGGACGCCGTGGGGCAGGACGAGGAAGACGGGAGGGCCGCCGGGGCGCTGAACACCGACGAGTTCCCCCCTCTGCCGCGCCCCTTGCGCCCAGGCGCTGCCGCGGGCGCCGGCGGCCGGCGGAGTTCCAACCGTCCGCACCAACAGGGCCGGAGAAGTCCCGTCGATGCCGCTGCTGCGGAATGCTCGGACGAGGGAGACGGCCTCTTTTCGGCGTTCAGTCCTGGCTTGGCGGCATCGGCTCCTGTTGTCCCCGGTGCCTTTAGCCGCCGTCGAGTTGGGAAGGCCTCGCGGCATATGCGAGGACCACATGTGCACACGAGCACTGCTACTACCGGTATTGGTTATTGATGGATGCAACCGGGCACTTGTGTTTGTTCTGT